GCTGGCACAGGTTTTTGAACAGGTTCTGTTCGCAGACTTTCGCACCTGCCTCAGTCCCCAAACAGCCTGCGCGGCCCTTGGTAACCAGGGCGACAACCGAGCTGGTATAATTTTCGATGACGGCAATACAATGAGGGGCAGGTTGCTATGTTTCACGGGTAACCTTCCTTGGAAGCAACACTGTCAGCCTGCTGGATATAATAATGTATATTCGCATAGCTAGTGTGGTTACTATTAGCATAATATTGTTTTTTCTGTACTGCCAACAATGGAACTTACGGTAAACAGAGACTGCAATAATGTACACTAATGAAAGTTATTTTTTATTGTTTTCAATATCTCGACCTAAGGCAGTGTACAATAACTGCATTCTTGTCGTTAGTGTCTGTATGGCTCTGGTAGTTAGTTTCAGTCCTAGTATAGACTGTACAGTGGTTCTTCTAAAATTTCAATTTTTGGACGAATTCTGCTTGAACGGCATGTGTATGTTGATTACAGTTATTTTACCAGCTTTTTCAGCAATTAGCTGAAGCTAATTATGTTTTTGTCCTTGAGAGTACTGACATTTCTCAGAGTTTGTTGTGCCGAATTGGTCATTCCGTGACTGTAGTAATGTTCGGCAGTGGCAAGCTGGTATCTACTGACACAGTACGAGGATGGACGCTTTTTTAGTTCACATTCTTTCCGTGCAATATAGATGCGCTTTCCAGTCAATCTTCATTATTCACAAAAGCTAGCAAAATCTGCTGTTCGATATACGTTTAAACTGAGCTGGTAAGCTTGGAGTTTTGTTTCATTTATTGATTGCGAATTATTTCGGATAGTGTCTTCAGTTCTTAGTTTCAGATCTATTGTGGGTTTGGATGGCTCTTTTATGGGCAGTTGTATTTCTTGTTTTCGTGGTTCTGTTATTACTACTTTAGAATGTTACCATTTGTCATGCATAATTGCTAGCTGTTCTTTGCGTCCGTCATTGTTAGTCTGCAGTCTGTTTAATCCCTAAGGCTGTATAGGCGTCTTAGATACGTCAATTAATTTTACAGCTGTTGAAGTTTTATGTCGTTAAGGCTCACTTTTCTCGTTGATAAATCAACTGCGTGCCTGTTTATGTTGTTATAATTTACCGTGCTTAAACCATGACAAAATTTAGGAAGCTGGACATTTTGCGCAAAGGCAGTCGGAATAGTATTGCTGGTAGCCGAAAGGCTGGAAGAATGAATTGTAATGGCAGTCACCAACGAAGCCATTACTCGACTACGCATTACTCTACCGATTCTTCTTCAGAGTCTGATTCTGATAATATGACAAAACAAGATCAAGAGCAGGGCCTTCTTCAACGGTCAAATAACGACTTTTCAGAAGCAAGCACCCATACAGGTATCTTTGCCACTGATGAGACTGTGTTTCTAAAGGTGTTATTTAGATTCGATCGCTGATGCAGATGTTGTCACGGCGTCTACCTCATTCTTGTCTGATTTGAATGCCAGTGGTGGAGAAACGGGATCATTCTCTGAGAAGGTGGAGAAATCTGTGGAGGTAGATCATGTTGCACTCACAAACGAAGGTTGTAAGGTGGAATTGAGAACAACCGTCCATGTCCCAGTATTTCGAAGCGAAGAGATCAACAAATTTCGTTACAAGTTACCTGTCGTTGGACAAGAACAGGAGATCGTAGAGGCCATTCTCGAGAATGATATCGTGATTGTATGTGGTGAAACCGGGTCAGGAAAGACCACTCAAGTGCCACAGTTTTTGTATGAAGCAAATTTCTGTGATGGTGGTCGGTT